AGCCTGACCTTTAATTTAACATCTATACTTTTTAATGGATTTCAAAGTCTAAGGTTAAGATATAAGTTTAACGGCTATGTGTATATGTTGTAACTTTGATATGAGATGGCCATCCTAGTTATCTTGTTCTATAATGCTGCTTGAAACAAGGGAGACAATATGTTTCCATTTAACTCACCCTTCTTGTATGAGGTTCTCTCTGCTAAGAAATAATATACATGTTTGTTTTTCTTTCAAAATGCTTGGTATCTGTGGGAGCTACAGTAATAGTAATCTCACAGAGGATCCAAGATATTTTCAATACGGAAGAAAAAAATAGTAATAATTACAACACCTCTTATTTCAATTAGATGTGCGAAAGATTTCATGAGTTAATACAGAGCAGTGAAAATTACGCAATTTTCTTTGATTAAATACTAATTAGGACAATGCAGTAATTAGGTAAAAGTAAGTGATCATACCCTCTCTGTTGTATGAAATTTTTGCAACGATGAATCTCGTAGTGGAAAATCCCAGGCTGTCTTCATGTAAACTCCAGCAACAGTGATAAAAAAACTCTCTTCAATATTGCGGGGAGTTGTTCAATTGCCCCTGGAAATTTGTAATTAACAGTTATTTATTTCTTATGTTTTTGTCTGAAGATATAATACATGTCCAGAAGACTTGAGGAGAAACATCTCAGAATTTACCCTTTGTCCTCTCTTTCACCTCTTTATTAATAAGCTCTGCTGTCTTCACTGGGTCATCAAACTTCAAAGGTATGAGGTCAATATTCTGCTTCTTCAGTAGTTTCTTGTAACTCTGAGGTAACAAAAAACAAATAGAGGTCATTATAAAATTTTCTACTGTATGAGCAGTGCTGTGTGAGCAGGAAAATGAGGTACAAAACCAAAAAAGCTGAAAGAAAACAAAGTACTGGAATATTGAAGTTTTAGGAGAAGGGGATTATTGAGTCCAGTCTTCCACAAAGAAATTTGTAACATTATGATCTGAATATGCAAAGTTGAAGTGCATTCCCAAATGAAGTGCATTCCCAGGTATGTGTTAGAGTGAATGGAATGCTCTTCAAAATAAGACCCTGACTTGACTTCTTGTCTGATGATTTAGTTAAAACGTTACATGTATGTATATGCTAAAAGGTTGAGAGAAATGTAATGTTGCACTGTATGACTTTAGAGCTAATGTAAATCATATGAAGCAAGAATTAGTCTTAGATCCCATAATTTAATTAAACATCTTCCCTTGAAAACAATAAACTCAGACACATAATCTGAGAACGTTTGTATTAATTCTGTTTTGTTTGGAAATTAATGTTGTTGCACTTTTTGACAAATCCCATATCCAATCATGTTGGATGTTAGAAAAGTCTTTAAAAGAATAATACAACTTGCGTACACTTGATGGTTGGAAATTCTCATCGTAGCACTGAAATTCTGCCTTTTTGATGTCCACCTTGCTGTCTTTGATAGCCGTTTTGAAGGCAAAGTCAAAACGGTTGGCTTCATTTCTCATTTCTTTGCACCTTGTGGATTTCACATTCCACTTAAAGAGAAAAATAGACATGTCAATTAATATTCCCATTTTAAAATGTCCTTTTAAAAGAAAAACATTGAGATCCATGGTTTCTAGGGTCTCCAGCAAGAACAGGTTTAAATGCTTTAAAGGATATTAATGAAAATAAAAACATGTGATCAGTCATCTACAGGATGTTGACTTTGAATGTTTCAAAGTGACAAAACTGAATCAGTTATGAGCTTAATTGGTCTTAATTAAGAAGGGTGCTGTAATCTGACCCATTATGGATTTCATTGATCTTATACTGACCTAACAAACATAGTATGAAACCAAGCACCTTGATGGGCTTTGTCACTCCATGGGCAGCAGTGAATATCACTGGATTATTTGATTTACAGCTCCAGGATACGTAAATTGTTCCATATTCCAGCTCAGACTGATAAAAGTACTCAATCGCAGATAGACAGAAAGCTTTAATATAACTGTGAGATAAATAGGATTATTATATGTGTTTATTATATTATATATTTTATGTTTTTATTATATGTGAACTAGACAGAATAAATGGAAACCCTCTTTTTAACTGCTGCAGTGTTGGGGTCTACTTGAGCATAGAGAGAAATGGGAATTCTTCTTGTCCTTGAATATCGGGTTTCATCTGGATTTCATGATTTTAAATTAATCATTGAGGGCACGCGGTAGTAGCACGTAGGGTCTTGCTGCTGTATCTCAGCTGTTGGGTCCTGGGACTGATTCTGGGCGGAGGCACCTTCTATGCGAATTCTGTTCTCCTCATGTTCTCC